TATACTATATGTATGTGCGTCGTTTGACCGAGTAACTCGCACAAGTAGGCATGCAGCGATAACGAGAGCGAGAGAGAGAGAAGAGAGATAGGTAGATATACACGATGCTGCATTATGGAAACAATCACTGCGAGCGAAAGACTCCGTCTTTTAGAATTGTATCTCTTTATTTACTTTTTTTCCACTTAGTTTTGAGGCGAAGAAGTCTGTTATTATTGTTGCAACGAAACTTTTTTTGAAAAGGAGTAATTTGTAGTGGGTTGTAAGGTAGCGTAAATGATGATAATAATAACGACTAATGTGATTTTGAACGAAATGATCTCGGTCAGAAAAAGTAGATATAGTCTCATAAATAGTCACATGGATAGTCTCAAAAGTTATGTTTTGATCGCGTGTTTACGATATAATTTGTCCCAGCCATCTGGCGTCAAAGCAATTGACTTTATTCTAAGATTATCTATGTACCTTATTTACGATCTATCTGATACGATTTTTGAAATTTTCATCATACAATGCTAGAGAGTACATACTTGATTCCTTTAACCCAGCAACCATTTTCTGACTTGGCTCAAAAGCATACCACATAATAAAATTACGGGTCGGGTTAAAACTATGCATACAAACAATGAGTAACTTTCAAATGATTGCAATACAACGAATGCAACAGCTGTACTCTGAAAATGTACAAGTATCGCATATTTCTTTTTTCCAATTCGTCTTGAACAATGTATCATATAGAAAACCATTGAACGATTTTACGAGATCACTTCTTTTCAATTATTAAAATACTAAAAATAATGGAATGTGAAAAATGTCAATAATTTTGAGTAGACTGGCAAAATATTACGAGCTATGCCTTTACATACGGACAATACAATCATCTTGAAAAAATTATTGGAAAAAAAAGTGATGATACTGTTTGACAGGTAGCGTTCAAACTGTTGATAAAACAAAAGCTTTTTATTTAATATGAAAATTAATATCTAATTTACGTAAAAATCAGAAGCTAAGGTTTTTTGGCACCTCTAATAAGCGAGCATTCTGATAAAATTCTGCTGCTATAAAAAATAGCATTTATCACGATGATCGAGTAATTACAGAAAAATTAATGTTGAAGTGAGCAAATTTCTCGCATATTCGATGTTAAAATCGTCGAAACAGCTGCTTTCAATAGATTTCTAAAAATTAAATCTTCCGTACATGGATTTGCTTTGACGATCGGTTCAATTAACTGAAAACCAAGTACAGGTTCCCTGATATGAAAACTAAAAGTCTTCGGTGTAGGTGGGTCCAGAAAATTTAAAAAAAGTCTAAATTGTTAGAATTGCCATAAGATGAGTAATATTATAATATATCTTCATGATTTTAAATATTGAACTACTTTTCTAGGTACTTTATGAGGCAAAAAAATGTCTTCCTAGGAATCGTCACCAAGTTAAAATTTTAATGTATAAACAGATAAATCGATACCTCAATTGTAAACAATATGATTATAAACGATTTCGAAATTGTCCATCGACACACCGAACGTGTTTACAGTGAAAAGTAATAAGTTTGAATGTAACATTTCCTAAACATCACACCCATGAAACAAAGTCACACCGAAAGATAAATTTTATTCGTGTAATTTTCGTGGCACTAAATTGAAAGATCCATCGTTTAATTTAGACACCATATTGGATAAAAGTGAGAAGGAATCCGGGACAGTTCGTGATATTTGTAAGGAGTCATTTCTACAAGAAAGAAACATGAAAAGACATAAAAAAACAGTCCACGAAAGTTGCAAAGATTTCGCATGCGACAAATGTGAGAAAAAATTTGGGGATCAAAGCAATTTAAACAGACACCAAAAAACAATCCACGAAGGTCGTAAAGATTTCACATGCGACAAGTGCGAAAAGAAATTTGGAAGAAAATGGACTTTGGTCCAGCATCAAGAGACAGTCCACGAAGGTCTTAAGGATTATGCATGCGACAAGTGCGAAAAGAAATTTGGAAGAAAATGGATTTTGGTCAAGCATCAAGAGACAGTCCACGAAGGTCACAAAGATTTTGAATGCGATAAGTGTAAGAAGAAATTTGGGGTTCAAAGCAACTTGACAAAACACCATCAGATCGTACATGAAAATCGTAAAGATTTCACATGCGACAAGTGTGAGAAGAAATTTGGGGATCAAAGCAATTTAAACAGACACCAAAAAACAATTCACCAAGGTCGCAAGGACTATGCATGTGACAAGTGTGAGAAAAAATTTGGGGTTCAAAGCAATTTGAACAGACACCAAAAGATAATACACGAAGGTCGCAAAGACTACGAATGTGAAAAGTGTGAGAAAAAATTTGGGGATCAAAGCAATTTGTACAGACACCAAAAGATAATCCATGAAAGTTACAAGGATTACGCATGCAACAAATGCGAAAAGAAATTTGGACAAAAAGTGAATCTGACTACCCACCAAAGGACAGTCCACGAAGGTCGCAAAGATTACGCATGTGACAAATGCAAAAAGAAATTTACACAAAAAATTCATTTACTCTTCCACCAAAAGACATTCCATGAAAAGCATAAGGATTACGCATGCGATAAAAGCGAAAAGAAAGATGGACAAAAATCGAATTTGATGAGACATCAAAAAACAGTCCACAAAGGTCGCAAAGACTGCCCAAGCGACAAAAGCGACCAAAAATTTATAAAACAAAGTAATTTAGCAGGACACCAAAAAAATGTCCATGAAAGTCGCAAAGATACCACATGTGACAAGTACGAGAAGAAATTTTCAAAAAAACAAACTTTGCTCTTCCACGAAAATATAGTACATGACGGCCGCCTAGGTTTTAAATGCAAAAAGTGCGAGCAGAAATTTGGATCAAAATCGAAATTGATTAGACATCACGAGATAGTTCACGATGTTCGCAAGTGTTATTACCAATGCGACAGGTGCGAAAAGAAATTTGGACGCAAGTCGAGCTTGATTTCGCACCTCAAGACACATCAACCTGTAAACGAAAGTCGCAAAGATTATCCAAGCGAAATGTGCGAACAAAAATTTGATGAACTAAGAAATTTTACGAACCACCAAAAGACACTCAATGAAGATCGTATCGATTTTGATCAACGCCATTTGGTTAGAAAACAAATAATAGTTCACGAAGGCCACGAAGATTCTGCGCACAACAAGGAGAGCAAAAAGAGATCTAGGCCTCCATCGAATTCAATCAAAAAAAGAAAAAATGCCAAGAAAATTCCAAAAGACAACATAGCTGACAGGTGCCATAATTGTTTGGTTTGCCGATATCAAAGATCATTGTTAAATAAAAAACCTGGAGCAAAGGCAAAAAGAAAGTGAAAAAATTTCTCGCGCTTCTTTTTTATTAATTGTAGGCATGTGCAGTTGCATATAATATCATGTAAGATGATAATCGATTTTCCGTACTATAAGTAATTTATCATTATTACGAATGACTCGAACTTTTCTCAATCATAAAAAGTTTTTCAGTAAATAATCTGTATTTTATGAATGAAATAATTAAAACTGTTCATATTTTTCTTGAAAAATGTAAAAGAATGATACTGCAAGTTTTTAAATTAAAAATTTTGTCAATACGACTGTGTTTTACCTCAAACTATTTGCTATTTATTAATACGTCTTTGTTTCGTGCATAATGTTGGTATTATATTTCATAATGGAGAATGCCTTGAGTAAGTTTATTGCTTCGAGGTCTTTTGCGTGGGTCCGAGAAATCTAAAAAAAATTCGAGGTTGTTACAATTGTTTAAATGTACCTTCATGAAATTTTTCAGATTTTTTGAGTCACAATTAGGCTCGGCATCGACACTACCAGAAATCGAATATCCATGTGGATTCTGGTAGCATTTGCTGTAGCGTTTTCAAATCTGTAACTTAGATCTGTAACTGCTTTTGGACACTTTTGACATTTCCAAAAACTATACAAAAATTTCAACAAAAAAACTCGAGGACCTCGTACATAGCTCTATTTAAAAAATTATGAATATTACCCATTAATATCAGTGACAAGTCAAATTTCGTCAAATCGGTATCTACTTCTTCCTTTATCGTAGTTTCGTAGGAATGAATAATTCAAAAAAATAATTAGATAATTGATTTCAAGCAAAGACGAACGTATCGCACGAGACGTTTCAATGTACGAAAAATAGAAAAATACACGAGCAAATAAATCAATTCATTTTTGCACTTCATAAAGCTTTGTGCGATGGGTCTAAAATGGACTTTCGTCCACTGTTTTGTTTTTCGTTTTGTCGATAGGCGGTCGATTCGTGGTGACGTCTCAAGGCGACCTGCACATCAAGTCAGCGAGGCAAGAGGACGGCCACGCCACGTACTCCTGCTTGACCAGACACTCGCTCACCGGCGAGACGAGAAAGAGCGAGCCGGCCTCCCTCACCGTCACAGGTATTATATACATACATATCAGCGTCATCAGCATCATCATCGTATGTACATAAGCAAAGCGCAGACGTGAGAGCTCGGTATACATATAGCTGCGCTGTGTATATGCCCACATCCACCCACATACACACACACACACATACACTCATGAACCGAAGCGAAACAGATCTTGTACTTTGATAGTCCCTTTGACACGCTGTGCAGCGTACGTACCTACATACGTTTGAGGCATGTTCTCTAGCTCGAAACTCGGGTGTGTGCTTTTACACAGCCACGAGAATCGACGCTTGTATTATATATATACAGGAGCTCGGAGCATCTATTATTCGACAAAAAATGCATCGAGTGTAGCTGATACACACACATATAGACACACGACCCCGAGAGAACATGCTTACCGTGCGAAAGCGAGTCGGGGGCTTGACGTTACACACGGGTCAACTAAAATCTGAATTTCTGTCTGTCTCTTCCTCTCTCTCTCTCTCTCTCGCTTCTGGTGCATGGCCCGCAAATCCGACGACGACGACGACGACGACGACGTATACAATATACGCCAGAGCCAAGCAGTACAATGCCGCCCAAGCTGATGCAGCGCTCGCAAATTGCCATTTCCGCGGAGCGTGACTCCGACGTGCATCTTACGTGCTCGGCCCAGGGCAATCCGCCGCCGCAGTTCACTTGGTATCGGGACGTCAATGGTGAGTTTGCGCATACATATCTCGGCTATTTTGGCGTTACTCGCCTATCTCTTATCTCGGTTACTTTTTTTTTTGTTGCTGGCGATGGCTCGGGGGGGAAAAAAATAAATAACGACGACGATGACGATGATATTGTGTATAGGACGCTCGATACCGGTGGAGTCGTACGGACGCATACAGATCTGGGGCGATCTGTTACGCATCAGGCGGGTCGACGTGCAAGACGCCGGCCGCTACGTCTGCAGCGCGCGGAATCAATTTGGCGAGCAGCAGGCCGAGACCCATCTGTCCGTCACGTCCAAGCTCAACGCCCGAATACAGCCGATGCTTCAGGTGAGTCGAAGATATATATGTACGTGTAGGAGCGCACAATGGGACGCGATAACGAGTCGAGAGAGAGGACACGATTTTCTTGATTTTTTTTTCTTTTTTCTCTCGTTCTCGCGCGCTCGAGTAGACGATATTACGTTGGAGGAATGTACGGGCGCATATATACGTGTAGGTGCAGATGGATATCGTTATATCGAGTCGAAGGAAAATATATACGAAAACGTATCCAGTGGCAATCGCGAAATTGATACCGCTGCAAGAGTGAGTGCGAGTCTATCTGTGCCCGAAATTTCGTAACAAATAATACGAAAAAAAATCCTCATTCGATCAGATTCTCGCTGCTGCTGGTGGGAACGCAATTGTTATCCTTTTGTGTATATATCGTATACACTTTGCTTATGTGTGTACGCGAGAATTGAACTTTCAAGCTGTGACAACAACAACAAAAACAACAATAACAGCGGTAGCTGTGGCGGTGAACTTCCAATCGATATGAATTCGATAGAATTCGATATTTGGCGCGATACGAGTTTCTATACATGCGAAATAATGCAGTGTAGTATCGCAACTGACAATAATACTTACGAACGCAGGTCGTGAACTCGGGCCAGACGGCGACGATGAACTGCTCGGTGGAGGGCTATCCGATCGAGAGCGTCGAGTGGCTGCGCGACGGCGTGCCCGTGCTCGCCAGCCAGGACTCGAGGATTCGCCTTCCGGCGCCGCTCGTGCTGCAGATCGCCTCGATCGGGCGCCGCGACAAGGGCATGTATCAGTGCCTGGTGAGGAGCGACAAGGAGAACGCCCAGGCCACCGGAGAGCTGAGGCTCGGTGGTGAGTGTGTTTCCGCGCTATTTTCTGTATACCATCGATTTTTCGACGTGGACAATACGACTAAACGATTTTTCTTTTGTCGTGTATCAGACACGGTGCCGGAATTGCAGTACACGTTCATCGAGCAGACCCTGAGGCCGGGACCGCCGGTGTCGCTGAGGTGCTCGGCCACCGGCTCGCCGCCGCCCTCCTTCACTTGGCTGCTCGACGGCGATCCGCTCAGCGAACTCGCCACTAGTCACAGGTAGGTGGTGGTGATGATGCGTGTGGCGCCGACGACAACGGGGAGTTTTTATCTTTCTGTGTCGTTGGCGTATTTCAATTTTTTTTGAAATATGTAGCCGATTAGGATGAAGGGAAAGAGTAAGATTAAATATCATTAAAAATTCTGGTCACAGATTGTTCCAAAACTGTGCTCCGACTTATACAATTATTTTGACTTACCCACTTGCGGATTTACAGATATAAAGATACTCGCCATCCAGTGGTGGATACTGGTATTAATTATCATTGATAATTCGTAAATGGTTTGAGCATTATTTGATTGAATTTTCACGAATTCGTTGTGCTATTAGTGTAATGAGATAAATTATCATTTATACATTAATTCTTACCAAAAAGTTGCATGTAAAAGTACTTTACATAAAATTTAATATCTTTCATGTTAAATCTGCACTAAACTTATTACGATATCTTAACACGACTATAGTTTTTAATTTCCACCAGTTGCGTTATGTTTTCTCGAGCATTATTCAAAAATTAACAGTGTATAAAGTAATAATGACTTTAAAAAAAATTTAATTTTTTCAAATAAATAATTCATGATTCTTTTATCGGTACTGATACACAAAAATAGGATGACTTGGCTGCGGATTTTTTTCTCTCTATCTCTCTCTATCTCTCTAACGGCGCACGATAATTCATTCGCAGATACGCCATCGGCCAGTACGTCGATCAGTCGGGCGACGTGATAAGTCACCTGAACATATCGTCGTCGTCGACGGAGGACGGCGGGCTTTACGCCTGCGTCGCGTCCAACAGTCTCGCCTCGGTCGAGCACAAAGCCCGTCTCAACATATGGGGTAAGTTCTCGCATAATATATTATAAAAGATATAGAAATTGTCAACGTTGCGCGTGTGGTGCCTTTATCCGCACCCACGCGAAAAGACCGACTCAGCGTCCAGTTTTCTTCTTTCTTTCTTCTCCTCACTCGACGCTTTTTTTTCCCTCACGCAGGTCCGCCGTACATACGTCTGCGCATCGGTCCGGTGCAGGCCATAGCGGGCCGCGACGTCACCGTGTCCTGCCCGTACTCGGGCTATCCGATCACGTCGGTCAAGTGGTCGCGGGGCGGCGCCTCGCTGCCGCCCGATCTGCGCCATCGCATCGACGCCGAGGGCCACCTCACCATCGCCGAGGTCAGCCCCAACGATCAGGGCACCTACACCTGCACGGTGCACGCCGGCTCGGGCCAGACCGCAAGCCGCGACATACACGTCGAGGTTCAGAGTCAGTATTACAAAAATATAAATGATAAGATATAGAGGAAAATGGAAATAGAGAGAGTGTGTAATCGATCGATCTCGGCTTGTCTCGCACAGGTCCGCCGGTCATGGGGCCACTGAGCTTTCCGCCGAATCTACAAAAGGGCAGCCGAGCGCAGATAGCCTGCAGTATCACCTCGGGCGATCTACCCATACACTTCTCCTGGCTGAAGGACGGCGAGCCGCTTCCGTCGTCGCTCAACGTAAGTTCTCCCCCCTCCATCTCTCTCTCTCTATCTTCTTTTCCCGAACTATAAATTTAAAAAGTTGCCGCGTGACTTTGAAATTAATTCGCAGAAAGTCGACGAACTGCTCCTTCAGATATATACGATGCGCATAGCGTTCCGTAATAATACAGACATTTTTCACTCGAGTTACTTTTTGGCCTGTGTAGACGAGGCAATGGTATATATTATTACAATGAAGCTCGAGCTCTGCGCGTGAATTAGATTCTTCGAAGCTGCCATAAATATATCATTGTATGCACGAGAGTCGACTCGGAGAGAGGATATCACATTCGAACGCGGAGCTTCGAGACTTCTTTATATCATAATATGATAGAGACGTCGTCGTCGCGTGGCGGCGTAGGGATTTTAAATGCCATATATAAACTCTGCCCGTCGCATAATGCATATTATAATGTATTCGAGAGCTTTCAATGCTCAGCTTTGCGACGCATTATATTCGCAGACGTATCATATACGCATCATATATTTTCTCTCAGATCGAGGAGAAGCGCGACGAGTTCTACAGCTTTCTCGTCTTCAAAGACGTCTCGTCGCGCCACAGCGGCAAGTACACCTGCCTCGCGACCAACAAGGCAGCCAAGGTCAACGAGACGGCCGAGCTGCTGGTCAAGGTGCCGCCCCAGTGGACCCACGAGCCCCAGGACGTCTCGGCCCTGCTCGGCAATCCGCTCTACGTGCACTGTCGGGCGACGGGTTTCCCGCCGCCGCAGATCACCTGGCTGCGCGGGCACGCCCGCACGGCGGCCGACTTTCAGCCGCTGAGCGAGATTCAGTCGGGGGTCGGGGGGCCGCGACTGACGACGCTGCCCAACGGCACGCTGTGGACGGCCTCGGCGGGTCCGCAGCACGAGGGACACTATCTGTGCCGGGCGAACAACAGCATTGGCTCGGGATTGAGCAAGGTCGTCTACGTGTCGGTGCATGGTAAGCATGAATTAGAATAGTTGATTGGACAAAATATTAAATATAAAATTTTTCAAGAAAGTTAGACAGTTATAGAATATTGAAATCTATTTATATTTAATCATTTCTCTCCTAGTTATTTTACTCAATTATAAATGAAAAATCCGATAATCTAAAGGGATCATAAAATAAAGCGATATAACGGGAGACTTGTTTAGCGCGTGACTATCAGTCAAAATGTAATAATTTTAATTTTGTTCTGTTTTAAATTTTATTCTGAGGAGGTCAGAGCGTGTCTGACCAAACGTTGATCGTAGTATACAGTTTTTATTAAAAAGTGACAGATTATTATTATTATTAGATTTTTATTAAATAAACTGACAGAAGTCTTGGAAAGACTGAATTTTTTGTTTTTGTAGTTTTTTTTGGTTTGTTTAATCGAGGGGTTACCCTCAGATTGCCGGATAATTTTTTTATTTAAAATTGAGCCATTGACAGCTTTTTACCTGAACATAATATTATAAGTTCCAAACTCTCAAAGATTCTTGACATTTTTTCGATTTAATCTTTTCACTGAATCAACTTGAGGTATATTGGCCTTCATCATTATGATAAAAAAGTGAATTATATGATTCTCCGAAAGATTTTGATGTAATTTGAAAAATCAATTTATCTCCCTGTCGTCATCCCTCGCAGAGCCCGCTAGATTCGAGTTCCAAAGCAAGAACGTGACGATACGCCGTGGCGAGTCGGTCGTGCTCGACTGCACGGTCATCGGCGACAATCCCATCAACGTCCAGTGGAGCCACAACAACAATCGTCTGGACACGACGGCCCACCGTCTCGCAGTGACGCAAGCCAAGACCGAGCAGGGCCTCAAGTCGCAGCTGTCGATCGGCATGAGCGACCGGCAGGACTCGGGCGTCTATCGCTGCACCGCCGACAACGACTACGGCCGAAGCGAGCACTTCATTTATCTGGCTGTGCAAGGTATAGTACAAAGCTCTATCGTTTCGTACATTTCGAATTATCCATCTCGACTCGACTCTACGAAATGATAAAAAAAATAAATAAAATGCAGAGCGTCCCGACGCGCCTTCGTCGCTGGAGGTAATCGAGATTGGCTCGCGATCGATCAAGCTGTCTTGGAACAAGGGCTTCGACGGCAACTGCCCGATAAGGGAGTACATTATTCAGTACCAGTCGGTATCTCACGGGATACTCGAGGACGAGTGGGAGCCGTCCAAGACGCACAACATCTCGCACGTGCCCGGCTCGTACACCTCCATCGGCGGAGCTGTATCGACCAATCCCACGCAGAATGGTAATTTACTCGAAACTTTTCTTTTTTTTTGATAGACGCGTATAAGCTAGATTCAATTTCATTTGCCTCATGTTTCACAGGTATAACGAGATACGAGGCAAATTCCGAGGAGCAGGAGATAGCCCAGGTGGGCGGGCTGCATCCGGCGGTGACGTACAAGTTTCGCGTGTTCGCGATCAACGAGATCGACTCGAGCGAGCCGACGGGGCCCGCGGTGGCCAAGACCCAGGAGGAGGCGCCCACCGAGCCGCCTCAAAATATCCGAGTCACATCGGCAGGTCCGGGCGAGCTGATCGTCATCTGGGAGGCGCCCCCGAAGGAATCCTGCAACGGTGATCTGCTCGGCTACATCGTCACCTGGTCCGAGCAGTCGTCCTCCACTTCGGGCGTCAATCAGAGCAAGAGCCTGAACGTCAACGGCTGGGCCACCAACAAGGTCCAGCTCACGGGTCTGCGCAACTTCACCAAGTACGACATCACCATCCGAGCCTTCAATAGCATCGCCAGCGGTCCGGCGAGCTCGCCCATTACCGGCACCACTCAGGAAGGAGGTATATAATCAATCATTTCGGAAGTTTGATCGACTTATATCGAACGTCGAAACTTTTCGCGCTTCGATTGCATGCACGACGTATACGAAAGCTAATTTGTATAATGCACTCGTGATTTGAAATGAGAATGAAAAAAATTGTCTCTTGCGCAGTGCCCAGCGCCCCACCGACCAAAGTCACCTGCACGTCGCTCACCTCGCAGAGCGTCAAAGTACACTGGAAAGCTCCGCCTGCCCATCAGCACGGTGGAATAATTCAGGGCTACAAAGTTTTCTATCGACCCGTGCCAACCGACAACAGTAAGCGTACCTATAATTTTCTCCGATCAATATCATGGATTACGTACTTACAAATTTTTCTTTTCTCCCCTCAACTCAACAGTGGAGATATCTACCTCGGGCGAGATCAAGAAGACCTCGAGCGACGAGACGTACCTGCACACACTCTACAAGTACACCAACTACTCGATCCGCGTGCTGGCCTACACGGGCGCCGGTGACGGCGTCCTCAGCAATCCCATCTACTGCTCCACGGAGGAGGACGTTCCGGGCCCCCCAGCGGGCATCAAGGCTCTGGCTTTGTCGGCCGAGTCGATCCTGGTCTCGTGGCTGCCCCCGCTGCAGCCCAACGGCCGTGTGACCAAGTACACGGTGTACTTCCGCGAGGCGGGCTCGAGTCGTCATAACACCTACACGATACACGAGCCCCCCGTGACTGCCTCGGACACCCTGACCAAGGAGCTGCGCGAGTTCAACGAGCGCCAGTTGTACGAGTTCTGGGTGACGGCCTCGACGGCTCCGGGTGAGGGCGAGGCCTCGATCGTCGTGTCGCAGAAGACCGATTCCAAAGGCAACGCCGCCCCCGCGAGGGTCGCCTCGTTCTCGCAGGTACTGAAGAAACCGGTCAAGTCGTCGGTGACGCTGTCGTGCATCGTCGTGGGCAATCCGACGCCCCGGCCCCAGTGGACCTACAAGGCCGGCCACGTGTCCAAGAGCAAGCACCACGAGATCACCAACGAAGGCCATCTCAGGATACACAATCTCGAGCAGTCGGTCGCCGGGAATTACACGTGCTCGGCCAGCAACACCTACGGCGACGACTCGATCACGTACACGCTGATCGTGGTGATGCCCCCAAGGGCGCCGACCCTCGAGCTCCAGTACACGACGACGGACAGCATCAAGTTCTACTGGAGTCACCCGGACAACGGAGGAGCCAATATACAGGGCTACGTGCTCAGCTACAAGAAGGACAAGGGCGGCTGGGAGGAGATCAGTCTGTCGCCCGAGCACACCGAGCTGTCGCTCAACGGCCTCAAGTGCGGCTCGACCTACGTGGCCCATCTGACGGCACAGAATCGCGTCGGGACGGGCGACCCCAGTCCCCTGATCTCCGCGGTGACCAAAGGCACGGCGCCCCAGCAGCCCAAGGAGCGCGACGTGATCATCGCCAACGCCACCTCGGTGCGTCTGCTGCTGCTCAACTGGCCGAACGGCGACTGCCCCATCGAGTTCTACACGGTGGAGTTTCGCAAGAAGATTGGCCAAGAGCAGTGGAACCTGGTGACGAGTCAGGCCACGGAGAACATCGTCATCAGGGACCTGAAGCCCGCCACCTGGTACAGTCTGCGGCTGACTGCGCACAACGACGCCGGCTCGACCCAGGCCCTCATGGACTTCGCCACGACGACGCTGAGCGGTGCCTCGATCGGGCCGTTCAGCGACAAGGACACGGACAACGGCGCCCTGGGGGCCACGGCGGGCTACAAGTTCTTCTACGTGGTGGTGCCGCTGGTCTGCACGGTGCTGCTCGTCGTCTCGGCGGTCGTCGTAGGCTACGTCATGCTCAAGCGCAACGGTCGAGCCGGTGGCATGGGCGGGGGTGGCGGAGGAGGGGGCGTCGGTGGCTACCTCGGGGATATGCTGCCCGGCGGGGCGCAGACACCCGGTGGCCTCGCGGGCATGAATCTCCAGCACCAGAGCCATCATCATTTGTCGAGCTGCATGTCGACGGTGCAGATGAAGTCGACGGCGGAGCGTGACAATCGGCGCAATCATCAGGTCTACACGAGCTCACCGGTCAAGCACCAGGACAACGGCAAGCCAGCGGCGATCGATCACGGCGCCGAGATGTACGAGATCAGTCCGTACGCGACGTTCAGCGTGCCGGGCAGGGGCGACAATCGAGCCGTGTCCACTGCGACCCTCGACTACACGATGCAGTTCAAGACCTTCGGTCATCTCGAGAACGAGGACATCAATCAGATCGATTACGAGCGATCGAGCATCGACTTCGAGAGGTGAACTATATCATTTTGGACTTTTTACATTTTGAGAACGATGTAAGGAGAGAGAATAAATTGGACCATGACGCTGGCAGATCGAAAACGCCCAGATGGCACAAGCAGCGCTACTTCCCGAGCATCGCCGAGGCCGAGAGCAAGATGAGGGCACCGGGAGGAGGCGCGGGTGGCGGTGGCGGCGGCAATCGGCAGGGATCGGGCAGCGACACCTCGGGCAGTCCCTGCGGCGAGTGCGCCGGACCGAGCTATCGAGTGCCCGTCAAGCCTTGCCGAGGTAAATAGCACGATACATTCTTTTTTCTTTCGATTCAATTACATAAATAATAATACGACATAAATTACGCATTTGATATTTAACGCAAAATGTGTGTGTGCGGGGGCGGATAAATTAGCGCATTTTAAATTGTTGAAAATCACGTCAGATGTGTTTTCACGTGGTGGCGGCATCGAGTCGAGCACCGAGTCCAACAACGAGGGCTCGCCGTCGCTCGGCCGGCGCATGAAAAATCGACAGCCAAGCAGCGGACGGTCTCGAAGGTAGCCAAGGTTTGTTGTTTTCTGACACATAATCGCAACTTTTAGCACACACACGAATCTACATATAATATATAACGTCGTCCCGTGCTTACATACGAATCCTGTAATGAGTATCGAAGATAAAGTAGAAAATCCCTTACCAGTCGATGTGCGATCGTCGATAATGTGGGCAACTATGCTAACGAGATTTTCTTTCGGTTTTATTTCGATGTAGCTCTGTCGAGGACATGATGCTGCTACCACCGAGCGGATTCAGCGATACGAGCCGCGAGCTCCTGGACATCGAGCAGGACAACAGTCAGGAATGGAAAGCCGCCGACTCGATGGGCAGAATCTCGTTCGAAGCTATGGAAACGATGTTAGCTAGGTAGGTATGAATTTCGGCTACGTAAAATCAACACAAGGATTGAAATTTAATATATTCGTCTTTATTATAGACACCAGCAACGCAGGGAGCAAGAGAGACAGGAGTGCACGATTCACGTATGATCGTCGCTTCGGATTTCGTATCTGCCGGCGATGTACCGCTACGTACTGCTGGAATCATTACTGCCAAAAATATGTTTATTGTCGTATACCTGAGGGAAGGAGAGAATGTTATGATTGACGATTGTTTTTATCTCGATATTTATGTAAAAAAAACAACAACAATAACAACAAAACAAAGAAAAATGTGATTGAATAAGCAAAATTGCGAAAATTTTCGTGTACCAGTTGTAACTCTTATACGACTCTATAGAAAATCGAGTCCGTTTTTTTTAAAAGGTACCTAATTGTTGCTCGTCGTGTACATAATGATGTTTTTTTATAACGAAATATTTATGAAAAGTTGTTTTTTACCATCTTGACGATTGATGAAGACTGTTGAATCTTAGTCAATGCTATATACCGAATGCCACGGGAATTAATATTTCCTATAAATCGTATATGCCTCTGGTTTTTTCATTCTTATATAAATTATGTATGAATTTAGGTGGAGACGATCGATTGAATACTTTATAAAATTGTTCATATCTTTGAAAAATATCTTTCAATATTTTTATCCATTGAAAGAATTGCTTTGTAATATAAATATTTATTGATAATTATTGAAAAATATGGTTGAATAAATCACATTTTAAATGTTTTCACGTGAGAAATTGTTGAAATTAATTATTCCATTTCTTACCACTTTTTATACTTGCTTGTTGCTGACAAAAGTAACAAATTTGACTCTACGTATATTAAAAAATATTTTGTATCTACTTCTCGCTGAAACGATCCTGTTTCGTGCAAAAAAACAATTCAACTGACAGGTAAAAGTGGTTAAAGTCATGTAATAGATAACTTAAAGTTGTGTACTATGTTTCCAAATGCAAAATGCAAATTTATTTAAAAAAATGTTTTCTCGGTCTTTTTTTCATTTTAATTTTTGAATCTTTCATGAATTTTTTTACGTAGTTAAAATGTCAGTCTATATTCCAATCAACGAGTAGGAAAGTGATTAGTATAATTGGTGCAAACAATGATCTGGTTTTTCACGTCGACATTCAATCGGTTATGTGTAATTAATTAATTATAAATAAAAATTTTGCTCGAAAGTAATGCAGCTGCTCTATTATTTTTTTCCGTTCAATTCAATAAGACGTTTAAATTTGAAACTGACTTCTTTAATAAGGCACTTGGAAAACTGGCACTTACAAGTAGTTGCCTCCGACTGAGCATACGCACAGTCACTCACAATGCACTCGTTGCATACATACTTATTCACGGCCCGATTACAGCGGGCTAGAATTAGCGAATTCTACGGCTACTAAGCGAATTCGTTCGGAGCGCAACTTGCAAGAAATCAGGCCCAGGGTGTACTGTATACGTGGCTCGCTGCTCCTTTTATAATTACTCGAAACGCGCTTGCGAGAAATGATACTTACATACACAGGGTGGCGGTTCTCCGTAGGGGAGCCCGCAAATTTCGCACATAATGTAACAATACTGCTCCTTCCAATTTTTGAGGTAGCATTCAAGCTGGTTCGACGGAGCTGGCCCGTCTAGCTCCTCGTACATTTCCTCGACTTCATAAAATATCATAAATATTTTTTTAAGCTTTAGTTTAAAAAATGGGGGGGGGGGCGGGAATGAATAGCTCCAACCTGCTGAGCGCCCAAGAATTATATCATATTTTTTAATATATGAACTAATGATGGTATCCGAAGAAGAAGCTTTTTTGTTTCTGGTAAAGTTTGATGCACCGTCAGTATTTTCATGTGTAAACATTTTTTTTTTAAGATTTAAAACAGATCTGAAATATTTATGTAACAAATAGGGTAGAGGATATATAAAGAGGTTGATTAAATAATAAGATGAGTTTTAATTTATTAAATTTTGATTATTTATTTATTGTCTAAAATACAGCTGACCATATTATTAGTATGGTACGACCAGAGCTTATTATAAAAATTATCAGCGACGATATTATCATTTTTTTATCGAGTAAAAATTTGCGTACATTCTTATTACTTTCAATAAAATCGGTATGATTCTTAAATTTTTCTCTCGGCATACTTATCATATTCTGCGCAAATAAAGGAGCTGTTTTTAATTACTACCTATATATTGTTACGTGGGGGATAGGAGAGGGTGAATAATAAATAATAAATGCTGGAGGAATTACTGATTAAATGGCCAAAAAGGGGAAGAGAGAGTTCATGCATCGACTTCGAACGTTAAACGAGAACTGCACGGGCTATCGGCATAGGTGGCTAATTGCCACCTGAGCCGGTCGCGAAAAAAGGAAGTCACGAGGCGCGAAGTCAGCAATAAGCATGCTGATGCTTCGCGCTTCCCCGTGACACGACTGAAGTTGCTACTCGTCGACCACGGCGAGTTAAAAAATTAAAATAAAAATAATTGAATCTCTCTCTTTTCCTTGTATATGTAAGCCTTATATTTATTAATTTTATCAATTTTATCAATTTTATCAATTAATATAACTGATATAATGTATTATAAAATATTCTCTTTTTTTTATCTATTATGTAGATTTATCAAGTTTTCCTTTCATTATTTTGCTTAACATTTTTTATTTCCATATCATTTTAAACAAAAAATTATTTCTAGGTTAGCTTGCGAGCGGTCAGGCTTATAGTTAATATTATCTACTCTTTCTAAGTAATGAAGTGCAGCGATTCTGCATATGTGCAGCTACCTGGCACATACACGGAGTTGTATGTGAGTAGTTTATAAGCCATTATAGGTAGTCAAAATAAATCCCCCACCCCTTTGCCCTGCTCCACCAATTCAACTAGATTGTCATCTAGAAGTTTGGGATGAACCGTTTTGTTTTATAATATGTGAAATATGCGGATTATCCTACAGGGAACCACCACCATATTTATATTGTGAGTACCCTTTTATTTCTCTCTCTTTTTCTCTCTCTCTTTCTTTAAAATAATTCGTTAGCGATCGTAATAATACTATAGCGGTGTTTTTTTTTCGCATTAGACAGGCAACCGCTCACACTATATTTCGCTAAAATAAAAAACACCTCTCTAAAAAATATCTATGATCTTTTGACCAAAACTATTTAAAAAATCTTTAAAATAAAGTTTTTGAGATAATCAACTTTTAAAATTTTCCCAACAATTTTTCTTGAAAAAATAAAAAATTTCGAAAATCTAACTTCACCATCGAAAAACTAAGATAATTCCCCATCAAAATCATATGTTCATTTTTTTCTCTAGCTATATTTTAATACTTTTATAGAAATTTATAAATATAATGATTTGACTTAATTCTGCCGCGATACATATATATTTATATACCAGCTGCCTATTATACAATGTAATATAAGAGCTCATTTTAAATTCTTTGCGCCACACGACACTGGGAGAGTTAACGCCTATTATTCAATGTAATATAAGAGCTCATTTTAAATTCTTTTTCTCTTTTTTATATTTCAGAAAAAATACAACCAACATCCAAACTATCCAAGGGGCCTACCTACTACCATTACACTTATTGTTATATCATTACACTTTTGATATACCTTTTTTTATTTTTTAGTCAATCAATAAAAAAAATAATCATAAATATATAATCCATTGTATTAAATAATAATCATAATAATAGTTTAATGACATCATATATTAAATCAACAATTGGATCAATAAGTCACTTTGGATAGTCTAAACAAAACCCCCACTCCTTTATTATTATTAATAATAATGAGGTTAATGACCTCATATGCTGAATCAGCAATTGGGCGGTCAATCACCTGCTGAATAAGCAATTATTTTATAAAGGGGTGGGGGTTTATTTAGACTACCCAAAGTGGCTTATAAACTACTTATGTGTCTTTGTTTTAAGTCTGCAAATAAATCAAAAAAAAATGCAATCGAGTTCCTGATCGCCGGTGATATCATTGTAAGTACTACTTTATATTAATAAATCTATACTTATATTAATAATAGATTTACAATTAATACATTATTTATACAATATTTTTTTTCTCTCTCCCCTTTTTTTCCTTCTTAATTCAATCATAAATAATAATTCATTTATTCTAATTTAAATTCTCATATATATAATTATAATTCCCCATTGTTTTTTTTGTTCTAGGCCTCGTACAGCCGATATGCAAAATGCCATATAGAAGACTGGAACGCGGAGGTTGGGGAGGAAGTCCCCATTTGCGGAGAGTGTCATCGCCCGATAGACACTCCGGCGCAATACATCTATGGCCCGCTCCACATGTAGGATCGTCGCGGTTCCCCGTGACAATATTTTTTTATTATATTGCAGCGGTCAAAAATTGGAATGCGGAACCTGATACCCCAGCAGTCCACTGGGCCTCGCCTCCACTTAGAACCTAATAAACAAATATGCACAGATGACGTATTTGAAAAATTGATTTATATTATTTTATTATTATTGTTATATATTACTTATTATTATAAATTTCTCTTTTTAATTATTAATGTACATAAACAATCAATAATCGTACAAATATCGACAAGCACTCGATTATTTACCCTATATCTCCTTATATATTATTACGGGGAATCGCGAAGCATTAGCATGCTTACTGCTGACTTCGGAACAATCGCCCTAAAACCAGGGTGTACAGCACGCACTACTAACGCACTGCTCAAGACTGCTCGGTAATACAAATCGGTTATAACTAATAAGTAGTTATTAGACCACTATGGACAGTCAAAACAATGACTCATCCATAGTGGCCTTGGTATTTTTATCGAGGAGAGGTAGGGGGGGAGGGGAGGGGGATTATAATTTTTAGAGAGAGAGAGAGGGAGGGAGAGAGAGAGAGAGAGAGAGAGAGAGAGAGAGAGAGAGAGAAAGAGAGAGAATGTCACGAGTTTTTGTCATAACGTTAACGCTCGAATCGTCCTGGCGCTATTATTTGTTCGTGCAAAGTTGTAAATCCTCTATTATTGACTGTCTCGTATATGATCATCGAGTGATCGTTACCGCCAAAACAATAAATTGCTTATATATGCGAATTGCCGAGCCCCCACCCCTTCGATAATCGAGTGACTGACATCCCAAAATCAAATGAGTAATACCGCCTCTGCGTGTCCGTGGTAGCTATTTGATACTTTTTTTTCGTGTATGTAAGTTATTAAATAATGAGAATATTTAAATAGCCGCCAAAAATGATTCTTTAGAATATATATAATAAATATTGATTGATAATAAATAATTATATGAATATTGTTAATAAGATTATGAAAAATGTGTATGTAAGTTATTAAATAATCTCACGCTATGATAGATGCCCGTTCGCTCTCGCACTCCGAATATAACTGACCATTTGTTAGCTTATCATATTGGATGCTTCTAGATATACCCCTTCTATCCCCCATAATTAATATATACCAGAGATAATGTCATAAGTTGGAATGCAATGCAATGCAAGAAAGTAAAACATTTCTAACACGTGTGACATCGTAAGATGATATGTGTTTTAG